CCGCCCTTCATTCTACGTACCGTCTTCCTGGATCTTTCTCAATTTTCCCTTTTCCTACCACTTTACCATTTTTTACAATTTGCAGTTTTTTTCCAAAAATACTCTCACTCACCCCCCCCCTACAAAAATAATGTCATCGAGAGTCGAAGCAGGAGAGGGATAGGAGGAAGGGATCTAGGGGTCTACAGCGCAAATCAAGAAGGGTCAGCAAACGAAAACATTTATCTAAAGATGAGAAGAGTTGAAATCTACTTCTCCCTAAGAGGTACGCCCCCCCTCCCTCTCTCCCTCCACCGCTCAAGTAACATTCTTCCCCGCTGGAGATCCCCAGCCTACGACGTGCCCTGCCGGTGGATTTTCCTAGCTTGGGACACGAGGCCTTTCATTTCTCTCACAGCTTCCGTTCGGATTTTCGGGTTTCTCTAGTGCATGACGAGAAAAAGGTGGGTTCAGCGGTGGTTTCGCTGGTAACACCGCTGACCCCGTATTTTCTTTCCTAGTAATCTAGTTTCGCTATGCGCCACGCATTCCACCTTCATTCGGAATTCTAGTGATACCCTGAATGTGACTTGATCTCTCCGACTACATTCTTGTTCCTTGTTCCCAGCCTTTACCACTACATATTTCGCTAGTGATCGGATCAAGTAAGGGCAAAAGTTAGCAGTAAGGGAAAATACTAAAATAAGATCAAAAAAAGATTGAGAAAGGATAAAAATAAGTGGCGGTGAAGATAGAAGAAGTGCTGACAACGTCATAACAACTTGTCACTTCTGACATAGGTCTGTGTTCCAGGACTATAGGTCAAATCTATGAGAGATGGACTCACCAAGGCTGTTACTGGTTCGTGAATTCGCTCGCTCCATCAACGCCCTCTTATTCGGATTGTTCAGAAGCGACCGCTTCGCCAGTGAAATATCAGCCGTTACTCGAGTTATGATGATTCTGAAATGGACCCGCTTTAAGCTCACGACATGTGTGTAGAATAATGTTGGAGGCATTTGGTGGGCGAAGTGGGCTGAGGAAGAACTTTCGCAGTACAGATGAGTGCTCCACGCCAGAATACCAGATAATCAGGGTTCCCGTTCCCAGAAGGTATGTCTTTAATTCCATATCCCACAGATGTAAAGGGCGTGGCGTGGCACATAATTTCGAACGTACCTCCGCCTGTGCTTCTAATGGAATATTTTAGTTTTGGATCAATTGTGATCATGTCTTCTTCCAGTGCAAGACAAAATGACGGCGCTGATTATTGACGTGGGCATTTGTACTATCACTGCTTCCCATGTTCCGGTTTGCAAATCTCACTTTGGTAAAACTTGTGAACTCTTTTAAAGCTGGAGCAGAGTCGTCTAGATCCCATCCGAAAACGTGTCAGCTCGAGAAAAACGCCCACCTAACGGGTCGACACCAATCTATGGAAAAGCAAACATGCCCCCCCCCCCGCTGTCATAAACCTCCGCCCAAAATGACAGCCATTTTAAATGGGACAACCCACAAAAATTGCATCCTACACCGTGTTCATGTGTAATACGCAGTAATGCCCTTCTCACCTCCGGGGATAGGACGAGTACACACTGCCAGGGATGAAATATGATCGTTCAGTTACGTTGACAAGGGAAAGGTTTTTTTCATACAAGGGTAAGAGATGAGTACTTTGACAGTAAACAGCTCCGTTACCTAGCAAGGGATTAGTATCGCCTGATCATGTGGGCGGAGAAGTCCGATGGGGGGGGAAGGAATCCGGTGGGCGGAAACATCTGGGCGGAACTCCCGCGCTTCGCTTGGGAACTTCGTGGCGATTGCCTGGTTATGTCTCGGACAGATTACCCTCGGCCTCCCAGCGGTTCACCCACTAGAATTCCAAAGAAACTAGTTGAACCGAAAAAAAACTGGTGGAAGCAGTTGTCCTTCAGCTCTTATTAACAAGTGAAATAATTCCTCACCTGCCCTCGAATCGATGCTTCAGATAGTCGAATACAGCCTTCTGCATCATATCGGTCACCTCGTAGCCCTTCAAGCTTGGGCCAACCAAAACGACCGGTCTCATCGACGGCACCACATCGTACGGCGGTAGATTCTCTTGCTAAAATCAGTTTTTCCTTTATTACAACCCACTTGAGCTACACTCTGCGATAGTTGGATGGGCGGAGACACATAATACGACTTGTTGATGCCAACCTCCTTTTTACACGATTAGAAAGAGGGAGGAACGATGAAGAAATACCAGCGATTGTGAGCCTCCCCTCGTACGATTATCGCGGAATGTGTCTTTATCACCAGTATTTCTTCAACACTCTTCACTGTATGCTCGCATAAAAGATGCATATCGATCGCTGGTGGCATAGAAAAGGTTCAATCGATATATATCTTCCATGTGCGCACCACTTGAGCTCAACCCGAGCCGGTCTCTGAGAACGCGCTTGTAAGGTGTTACCTTTTTGAATATTAACTTCTTCTTTTCCTTTGTGGGCGGAGTCGTGACAATGTTCGTTATCTTTCTAGCGCTGTACTCGTCATCTTCTGTAAATTAACAATTGACAAACACTTATGGTACACTATGAGGTCTATAACAACCACCTGGAGTGGGCGGAGTTGACCCTCTGGACTCGCTGCGCGGCATCATATTGTCCAGAGCACCGAGATTTGTAGTCGATGTTGATTGCTTGCTGAAAAAAGGGTCCAGTGAGAGACGAGTAGCTCATGGTCCCATACCAATCAATCAATAATCGCTCTGGATACGGTAGAGAAAGTTGAGCAAATGGCGGCTAAACTCACAACTTTCCAGCTTTTGCAGTTTGCTGTCGAAGTGACTCGAGCTTCACTGGCGATGGAATGAAGCCAAGATCATGACCCTCCTTGACCAGTCGACCAATCCACCAGTCGTTGTTGTATTTCTGAACATACTGCAGTAAATTGAGGGTGCAACTCGATAACTAAATCAGTTTTTGGAGGAAAAAATACCTTACTGAAAATTTCGATTTGAAAGGAGAACTGAAAGTGAAGGGGAATGGGAAGAGGTTCGAAGTCAGTTCCAAATTGGAAAATATGGGCTGCAGTTCAAAATACAGCGCTATGTCTTATGACTGAGATATGGGACGTAGAGTTCATATCTGGGCAGCCGGGAGGCGCTTACGGCTGCCGACAGCTGGCGAAAGTGCCGTCGAAAGGTATCCAAGATCAAACAATAAGAGGACAGGCAACTTGACGGATACAAGCGGTCACCGCTTAACGCCTCATATCACCATTCCAGTGGAAGATATATCCCCGTCTTAGCGCGCTTAATTGGAAGTTTAGGTAAAGATTGAAGGATCATTAATACCGAGTTTGAGCATAAATAAATGGGTGGGGCACCGGCCGAAGCGCCCACAGACACCTCAGTTTACGCCTGCCTAGACCGCACTGGCCCTACGGTGGAAAGCGAACAGCGGAATTAGGGGGCTGTGGGGCGGTGCGTTGCGCGGCGCCAATTTTGGAGTCCTCAACCGAAAGTTAGGTTTTTTTTCTGAGCTTCCTCTCTCAAGCTAGCCAAAAAGTACCTTCTTATACCGTAACTAGCGCCAATCGACTCACACATAGTCCATGCCAACCCTACCACCTCTCCGCGTGCCCACAGCACAAAAACCACCCACTCATCTTTATCCCAGCCACAACTCCGCCTATGAACCCGCGCCCCCCATTCCCCACCTTTGTTATTCTAACCACCCCTCTTCCGCATCCACGCCCCAGTCTACTAGTTTTATCAGCCTCCTGGTCCCTAAAGTTTGTGGGGTCGTAGGGTGGTGGAGTTGCTGCGAGGTTGACTGGGGTGGGGGTCGATCGCTCTCTTCTCTCCTACAGCAAATCTTTCTGATCTCTTATTGTGTTCTATGTTCTCATCTCAACTCTGACATCTCACTCACTATACCACTGCGATATTTCTTTTTGCGCCAATCATCAGACACCCTCCTAAGCCGCCCCCCACAACAAGCTCTAGACCCCCTCAACCGCCGCCACCCCGCCCGATGCCAACACTCACTGCACCAATACACCTATAGCTCCCTAACATCACCTACACCCACACCAGCGAACAAACTACTTCCTGCCCACCACTCATACTCCCTGTAAACTGTGCCCCCACCACACCACCAATACCCTTCTCTGACTCTTCTCCAACCACACACAACTCAATAAACACGCGCACCACTCCATGCACAGCGTCGAATCGTCACCGTCAAGTGCAAGCCATCTATTCGCACATTTCTACAGACAGCATTATGCATGCTTAACCGGTTGCCCTGCTAGCTCACTCTGCGAAGCGACCTATTTGGGGGGGTTGTGAGGGTTGGAGGGCATATATGTTCTGTGTAGGGTCAGAGCCCGCAGACCGCTCACACACCACACCCACAATGCGATGGCGCGCCGCCATGCTATTCACTTCTACCTCACACCCTTCCCACCTCCCATCCAACCCTCAGCTTATCTCTCTGGCGGACAACCCACCACACTTCTTCTACCCTAGCCCTCCCCCCCTCCCCGCACTCTCGAACTCCACCTAATAGGCCCCGCGGCCCCACCCCCAGTCAGCTGCTACCAAGGCCCGCGTGAGCCATGCGGCGAACGTCCCTCGTCGACTCAATGTGACCTCCTGACGGGATTCTCCGAACGCGCAATACCCTGGTCGTAGGTGACATAGCACTATCACCAAGACACCAACCTGATTTCATCAGCGCTCAGTCTGATCCTACAATATCTAACTAATGGATTATTTCCCGTTCCACAGAACAAACTCTACCATAAGCAGTTCTGCTAAACCAAAACTCTGCAGAATAGCGCTCTGAAATCTTGGGACATGGTGCACTCCCCTTTCTGTCTTCACATCTGGTAAACTGCTGCTTGAAAACCAGCTCTCAATCTTTGCCCTCCCCTATTTACAGTGATGGTTTTGAGTGCACATAGTTTTGGCGCTCCCTGAAGAGAGAGGTAGGGCCCCAGTTTACTGCCATGGCCTCCCGCTGAAAAAAGGTGATTGACGGATTTTCCATCTTCCGCATTAGGGCTTTCGGTTCGCGTAGTTCGGCTTCGTGGGGGCAGCGGATGGTACTGAGCTAAATATGCACAGATCATCTTATGAAGACCTGTAAATACCTGTGACCGAAGTGACTCCCTCGTACTATTTCGCAGCTTCACCGGAGTTTACAGATCTCTCCAGATGGTGACCGGTTATTGAACATGAACTAACAAAATGGTCACGCAAAGTGCGAAATGCCCCTTCCAAGCCGCATAGCGACCTTCTGCTCTGTTCCTTGGTGCTCAGCCTAATTTGCTTGAAACTAACCAGGCAAAAAAGGGCTAACATTCAGGGCGTCTCCAAAGACTCTCTTCGCTGACGATGACGTAGCGTATACTTTTCCCCTCTTTAGATCCCCATTGCTATCGTGAAATGTGCGCCATAAATCTCTCCCCCCCTCTCCCCCGTAGCGTTCCAGTCGGTGTAAAGCCCTGAAGGGAACAGATTCCCTTCGTTTTAGCTCCCCTCTCGTTTTATAAGCGTTCCATTTCATTCTGAATAAGCTTTTATAAAGCCTTGCACTTCCAGTAATGCTGTTTTCAGTCAGAATTCAGCTATACCACTTCATGAATTCCTTGAAATTACGGTGGTTTTTCTTGGTATTAAGAATGCCAACATACTGAATTCATTCGAGCACACTTGCACTTTATACAGGAAATTTAATTGAATTCGTAAATTGCTGTGAGAGGGAACTTGGCGAACATAAAAGCGACCGTAAATCACATTGAATTCTATCCAACCAAAATTAGGCAACATTTTTCCAGGAATTTGAGGTTTTGGGCAAAATTCAGCGAAAAATGTCTTCAAAGCGCTCCCCAGTAGCAGGCCATTGTTCAGTCAAATCCAAAAATAACAAAAGGGACAATTAACCGCGGGCTTGTCCGTTTTTCCTGGCCCCATTCCGAGGGGAAGAAATCGCCTGGATTACAATGCCTTCAAAGGCTTTCAGAGCTTTAACCAACCATATCGCCTAGCTGAAATGGGATGTAAAATCAATGAAAAGCGATTCCATTATAATAAGTGCATTGGCTTTGTTCTCCTTAAGATTTAGTGGATTTTATCAATTCAAGCTCATGGGGGGGGAGGGGCAGAAAACGATCGAAAGCCTTTGCGACTAATCCTAAGTCGTTCATCCAGCTGAACAGCGGCAAGAATCATAATCCTCTTCTGTCTTTTTGTTCCCCCATGTGATCCCTCCCAACATAGCTGGGCGTAAACACTGTCCGGGTGCACTTTCAAAATTTCACTCAGAAGTTTCGAGAATAACGCCAAGAAAGTAGAAGCTTCATCGAAATAAATTTTTAATAAGTACTCCAAAGGAAGGAAAAGAAATTTAGTACGACGTGCACAGCTCGTCCATCTGTCTCAAAATCAGGGCAGGTCGTACGTCGGAGATCCCTAGAGAGGGGCCGTATTTCGGTCGCTGGAGGGAAAGAGATCGCATTCGCCTTCGTGGAATGTTTTCGATTGTTTACTTGGCTTTTACCGTTTTTCCCATCCCACATGGCCTATAAACCGATAAGCCCTCATTTCGACGGAAATTTTGAGGAAAAAACTTGAAAATTTTGGGAAAACCTCCGGAATAAAGAAGAGCTGGGAAGACTTAGAAAGATGTTAGGTTGGATATGAGGTGCGTAGGGGGAGTCGTACTAGAGGAGGAAATTTCAAGGTGGAGGGTGGCGTTTTCTGCAAATTATTTTACGAATGGGAGGACGTGCTCTACTAGTAATTCGACCTCATTTCAAAATTAACTTTGAGCTGAACCCAAAGCTGATACCTACCTGCAGAAGGAGGAGCGTGCGTCGAAATGGGCGGAGCGCAGGGCAAATGTTGGTTTTTCGATCCCACAACTTCATCCCTCCCCCAGGGCAGGAAAAATTGAAATGGGTGGAAACAACGGCCGCGACAAAATTGGGAAGAGACACCTAGTGCAGAGGGCATCCAAAAATGGGCAGTGCTTGCCACAGAAAGTCATCTCTCATTTTTGAGAATTTCTGGAGTAATATGAACTGATGAAGCAGCTTGCTTGCACTCACCCATTAAAACGGACACCCATTCCCCGGTCTCGAAATCGCGGGAAAAGATAATCGCCGCGGTGTAGACGCACATAAGCGGCTGCATAAATTCAAAGCCCCAGCTAAGGAGAAGAAGAGTTTCGACGCGCTGTTTGACTCTGGTGAGGAATTTCCCGATATAACGCTCGCGCACGCTGAAACCTTTGCAGCTGCCGGCCAGGCTTTTATAGGGGCACTGCTCGTGCGAGCGTGTGTGAGGTCCGCAGAAGAGGTGCGGTGTATCCGCGAGACGGAACGGCCTAGTAGACCCAGAAAGAGAAGGAGCGCCACAAAATAGCCACTCACAGAACAAGGGATAGCCTTCTGTCAGGCGGGAGAAATAGCGCAGTGGCAAGCGGGGCTGCTGTAGGTCTGGGGCTCGAACTTGGGATCGGATTCGGCCCGCTGGGCCACCGAACAGCTGATGCTCTAATCAACAGATCGATGAAAGAGAAGGTCCCGTCAACCCTCGTGTTATCCTTCAAACTAATCCATCAAAATTACCCCGTCCTCGGACAGCTTCTAGTGGCAATTTCGTGACAAATTAGAAATGCTCCCTTGTAAACAAACACGCGACAAACTGGCTTTGATTAGACGAGAACGCAGTGCTAGTGTGGAAATGGCAGATTGCCAAAATTTAGAAGGGGAAAATTATTCCATCGTTTTGATTCTGAGCTCACAAACGTGCTTTCCAAACAGAAGTATGACTAAAATAATACCCCTCGAAAAGATTTTTATTCGGGAACATTCCATCATTGATTTCTCTGTATCGCTCATTTTTAATGTGATTCTTTCAAGACGCAGTGGTAGCGCAGTGGTTTGGAGCGCCATTCGTAGGTCGCTAGGATCAAATCGTCCCCTAGAGTGTCAAACTTGAATCGTTCTAAGACTGCTGAAGCAGAATCTTTTACAAATGGTATTTACAACTATGTCGATGCTTTTGGTTCAGAGTCATTGAGTCGAGTCATTGCTAGCCTTCTGCTAATGACCAGCCCTTTAACTGATCCATCACAAGCGAGAAAAAGATCTCATTTTTTAAGTGCAGAGGCTGCTCCTCCTGGAAACCTGGACAGGCTTCAGGGGTACCATTTGCAGACAGAAAACCCACATTGTTGGGAGAATGCCCATCACGGGTCCTATGTGGTCACTGGAGTATATTGGTCTGAGGAAGTATCCTCAGTCCAAATTACTGGAAAAGCGTTAGAAGTTCGGAAGTCTTGGGAAGATGGTAAATAGAATGGAGATGGAGGGGAGGTCGTGCCAGAGGGAGAGAGAGTTTGAAAAGGGGGGGGGTCGTACTGGCACCACCATTTCACACATCACGACGCTTCATCCTGGTTGAAGAGTAGATCGAGTTTCAAGTTTAACCTCATTCTTGTAACAACCAACAGCAGTTCTATGTTGGCGTGTAAGACGCTATGTGTGAGTTAGGGCGTATCTACTTAGGGGGAGGGAGGCTTACGCTTTCCAACGTGTCTTTGTCTTTTTCTATGCTTTTCGCTACGTGTCTCACTCTGCGAGTCCTATAAATTCAAGTACCTGTAACTTCTGACCTGGCAAATTGACTCAGGAAGGGCGCAGGAGGGGGGGGGGGGGCACTTTGCACTTTTGCTACTTCCCATCGACGTGTCGACCTATCTAGACAGCCTCTTCTCGAGTTGACAGGTTTTACCATGATGGCTTGACGGACCTTCAGGGGTTCACGAGTTTCACCAGAGTGGGACTGTAAACGGGAGCTAGTGAAGCAACAAAAGTACAGCAAATGCCCCCCTCCCCCCCCCTCCGTTGCCGAACTGCGCCTTCTGGAAACCATCTCTCCACTTTTTTCTCAGATATTCACCGGCCATTTTGGGAAGTTCGGCAGGAGTTCACACGGCGCTTGATGGGTGATAACAAGGCTCTCAGGGTACCGGACAAGTGTCCCGTATCCACATGTATACAAGT